GTCAGTTTCTTTGTTCTTCCGTACTATCGCGCCCCCCCCCTCCTGCCCGATGGGTTGTTGTTTTAGTTGTCAACTACAGAAATAATGACATTAAAACAGCCGTTGGAAGATATGAGGACCTGGACAGATAATTTATAAAGGGCTCTTTGAAAACTGTGTTAATATTTTTTTCTTAAAAGTTAGTGCAAAAAAAAATTTAAAAAAAAATAAAAAAATAGTAAAAAAATAAATTTAAAAAAATCAACAAAACATTCTTTCGAAGGACTCTTTGATTCGACAACTTCGAAGATCAAGTGGTAGGCCGAGCTCGGGCCCGAGACTATCTAGCGTTGCAGTGTAACCAAATTGGCGCGAATGTCAATCAATTAAAAAAAAAAGTTAAATAAAGTATAAAGATGAATGAATATTATTAACTGCTCCGAAAATCTTGGTAAATGCTCCGAGAATCTTGGTAACTGTTCTGAGAATCTTGGTAAATGCTCTGAGAATCTTGGTAAATGCTCTGAGAATCTTGGTAAATGCTCTGAGAATCTTGGTAAATGCTCTGAGAATCTTGGTAAATGCTCTGAGAATCTTGGTAAATGCTCTGAGAATCTTGGTAAATGCTCTGAGAATCTTGGTAAATGCTCTGAGAATCTTGGTAAATGCTCTGAGAATCTTGGTAAATGCTCTGAGAATCTTGGTAAATGCTCTGAGAATCTTGGTAAATGCTCTGAGAATCTTGGTAAATGCTCTGAGAATCTTGGTAAATGCTCTGAGAATCTTGGTAAATGCTCTGAGAATCTTGGTAAATGCTCTGAGAATCTTGGTAAATGCTCTGAGAATCTTGGTAAATGCTCTGAGAATCTTGGTAAATGCTCTGAGAATCTTGGTAAATGCTCTGAGAATCTTGGTAAATGCTCTGAGAATCTTGGTAAATGCTCTGAGAATCTTGGTAAATGCTCTGAGAATCTTGGTAAATGCTCTGAGAATCTTGGTAAATGCTCTNAAAAAAATTGGTGGGGGGGGGGGGGGGGGGGGGTAGGATGAACGGTTTAATATATGTATATATATATATATAAATTGTGTGCTATGTATGACTTAGAGAACGCGTCACTACCTTGTTTGAGAATCGCTACATCACATGATCCATTGATTTGCCCTACTTTCGGTACGGGCTTGACTAGTTAGTTGCCGCCGCTGTGATTGCTGAGTTCGTCATTGCTGCAGTCACTATCATCCTGGACGTTGCTGTCTTCGTTCAGGTCGCTGCCGCTGTACGATGCGTGAGAGTCCAGCAGGCCGCCGCCGTGTCCGAGGGGCGAGAGCTCCGCTCCGTGGGGCTTGAGCTTGACAGATTTGGGGTCGCGCCCGATGCTGACCTCCTTCATGAATGAAATGTAGGTCATGGCGAGGCGGAGGGTTTCGATGCGGGACAGGCGCTTCTCGTAGTTGAACGCCGGAAGTCGTTTTCTCAGCTCGTCGAAGGCCTCGTTCAGATGAAACATTCGCTTCCTCTCCCTCACATTCGCCGCCTTTCGCTGCGTGTGGGACTGAACCCTTTTCCGTTTCGGCTTCCCGCTGGAGCCGCTCGGAGGACTCGGCTGCTGGAAGCCGCCCTGCTGGCTGAGATCTATGCCGGAGAAGAACCGGTGGTGCTGGCTGGGGACGATGGGGTCAGAAGAATTCGCGGTCGGCCACAGGGCGTGGGGCGTTGGGTAAAAGTCCGCGTGGGGCACCGTTTGGTGGCCGTAGTCGGCGTAGGGCTGCCCGCCCAGATCGACGCTCTCGGGGTAGTGGCCGTAGTAATGTCTGTCGGTGAGGATCTGCTGCTGGTGATGGGGCAGCGCGGTGTGGTGACCAGCGGCCTGCTGTTGCCAGTCGTATTCCGAGGGGTAATAGGACGAATTCTCGGCGTAGCCCGTCGGGCTGGAGTAGGGAGAAAGGTTTTCAGCACCACACTTGAGCTCGATGAACTGGTCCGGGGCGATACCTCTGTCGTCTAGTGACATGGTCACACGGGGGCTTTGGGGCGTGGGGGTGTCTAAAAGATCGTTGTTTTCTTTCTTTTTTTCAAAGCTTCTTTGTGGCGCAATGTGTAGTTGTTTTTAAGGTGCAAACCAAATCTTTAATCAGAGAGCCAAGTCCACGTAATGCAAATATTTTATGATCTGTGGAGAAGATCACATAGTAGATATTAAGTAAATATGTCATAAATCAAATCATACGTTACGATATATAGATATATAATTAAATTTGTTATTTCATATAAAGTTATAGCGTTATTGATATTTATTTATTAGAAGGAGTTAATTTTGTATAATTTTTTTAAATTGTTACGATATCAGTAGTGAATCCTGCTCTTGTCACATTCACATGCCCTGGCTAAGAACTTATCCACCAATCTCTTAAATCATACACATTTCTTAACAATCAGTGATTGGGCCAAGTGTGCAAGTACTGCACTGCTTCGATTGGTGGGTCTGTACAATCAGTGATTGGTCAAAAGGTGCAAGTATTGCACTGCTTCGATTGGTGGATCAACACAATCGGTGATTGGGCCAAAGGAGAAAGTATTGCATTGCTTCAATTGGTAGATCAACACAATCAGTGATTGGGCCAAAAGTGAAAGTATTGCACTGCTTCGATTGGTGGATCAACACAATCGGTGATTGGGCCAAAGGTGAAAGAATTGCATTGCTTCGATTGGTAGATCAACACAATCAGTGATTGGGCCAAAGGAGAAAGTATTGCATTGCTTCAATTGGTAGATCAACACAATCAGTGATTGGGCCAAAAGTGAAAGTATTGCACTGCTTCGATTGGTGGATCAACACAATCGGTGATTGGGCCAAAGGTGAAAGAATTGCATTGCTTCGATTGGTAGATCAACACAGTCAGTGACTGGGCCAAAGGTGAAAGGATTGCACGAGTTCAGTTGGTGGATCAACACAATCAGTGATTGGGCCAAAGGTGCTAGTATTGTACTGCTTTGATTGGTGGATCAACTGTTTCTTTATACAGATATAAGTATGGAGTCTATATCAAGTATAAAACTTCTATTAAGGACTGGTTCCTATTTGGACGTGAGATAATTGTAGTAGAAACATTGCTGGTCATCAAACATTTAGCAATATCCATTTCCTTTTTATTTTTTTAAAGCAGAATCTGCTGAAATTCAGCCTAACAATTCAATGATTAACAAGTAGGTCAGTCGTCAATATTTGTATTGCTTATGTTTAAAATGTGTATTAAAAATATCTTAAATATAACATTAAAGACTCGTTGCTTTTTTTTTTTGCACTGAAGGTCAAATAACTTTTTTTTGCTTGCATTGCACGAAGGGCACAGATTCCATATCAACAAGACACTAGTTATTATACAAGGCACTAGTTATTATACAAGACACATACAAGTCATAAGTACAAAACTTGATGCGCAGGCTTTGAAAATGTAATTTTTTAAAATATTTCTTTTAATTTCATTTTTTTTTTTAAATTGTCATCAAAGGTTAGACTTTTATCATTACAAGTATTCGTAGCTGTTGTTTGTACACACAAGTTGAAAGATGATTTTTATTACTTAATATATCACAATATATATCACAATATATATATATATATATAAATATAACAAGACCAAAACACGTACTATTGACTTGTTCAGCAAAAACACGTACTATTGACTTGTTCAGCAAAAACACGTACTATTGACTTGTTCAGCAAAAACACGTACTATTGACTTGTTCAGCAAAAACACGTACTATTGACTTGTTCAGCCAAAACACGTACTATTGACTTGTTCAGCCAAAACACGTACTATTGACTTGTTCAGCCAAAACACGTACTATTGACTTGTTCAGCAAAAACACGTACTATTTCCTTGTTCAGCCAAAACACGTACTATTGACTTGTTCAGCCAAAACATGTACTATTGACTTGTTCAGCCAAAACACGTACTATTGACTTGTTCAGCAAAAACACGTACTATTGACTTGTTCAGCAAAAACACGTACTATTGACTTGTTCAGCCAAAACACGTACTATTGACTTGTTCAGCCAAAACACATACTATTGAATGCATACAAACAAGTTTCATACACACACAAGAAAAGACCAACTGTTAACATAGAGATGAAACATGACCAATAATGACTAAGCCTAAGGATTAATGACATGTTACTCACCAACTTAAAAGAAGGCACAGTTCACTCACAGTGTCCGGTCCTGACCGGAAGAAAGAAAAAACAAACAACAGCTCCCTCGACGAATCAAATGTATCACGGCGAGACAGTGTTACACGGTCCCAGCTGGTCACTTGACGACACCACCAGCATCCACCGTCCAAGCTGTTGCTGATGTCTGGCGACGACCGAATGCTGTTGCACACCGTGTCTAGTAGCGGTAGTAGTGATAACACACTGGCCTCCCCTAAAGATGTCACCCCAACCATATGTCGCCAGCCGCAGCTTGTCCCTCAGCCTTTTTGTTTTGTCTCTGGTATCCGAACAGTCCAGCTTAAGTGTAGGGTCGTTGAACGTCACTCGGGCTCAGCAAGGCCTGTTACTTCTAGAAACTTTTCTGAGTTTAAAGTTCTTCGTTTTGTCTGGAATCAACTAACTTCTTTTTTTTTTTTTAATAAGACCTTTCTGGTACTGTAGAGGTCACTCCGTGCCTCGGGCAGGTAACTTTGATCCAGTTCCCGCCCTGGAGACTTTTATACCTTGGGGACGTTACAGGTAGAGAGGAAACACCGTCGCGGGTGTGTCAGTATCGATCGTGGTGATTTCAAATGCAACAGGCACGCGTCCCGCGATTGGTCACGAGCCGAGGGGATCAAACGTCATGGGAGGGTGCCGCCACGTGGGGGAGGCGGGGCTTGAGTGTCGCACGACCGGACGACCGGGAGGGTGACACCGGGATCGTGGCGTGGTCTCGAGAGGCGTGCGACAGTTAGTTAGGGGGGAGATAACGCCCGAGACCCCGGGGGTGAAGGAAAGGGGGGGGGGCAGTGTTCCAGGTGCAAAAGGCTGGTGGTGGGGAGGGGGCCAAAGACGGGCCAGGGCCGGGTACTCATTTAAAGTAAACTTGTTTCGCTTTAAGTTCACGACGATTAATATGATTAACCCACAACCGTTTCGTTTCTTTTCTTCTGCTCCCTGTCCTTCATTAGCAGAGTATATTACATTGGTTGGGGATGCTTATAACGTCACATGATCTACATGATCTGGTGATTGTGGCATCCCTATTGGCCTATTGGTTTATGTCTATGTTTGTCAGTTGTTGTTTTTTTTTTAAAATCATGCAGGATCTTTTGTAGCCTTGAAAAAAAAAATCTCGAAATTCAGGAACAATGTTGGAGGAGAGGGGGGGGGGGGGGGGGATGCTGATTTTTTTTTTTCCTTTTGGTTAAAAAAAAAAATTTAAAAAAAAATAATATTATTTAATGTACGCCTTTCCCTTAAAAAAAACAGGGAAAAATTGGCTGTACCGTCAACACACTATTTTTGTCCTCACAGTTAACCGATCGGACGACTGGTATGTTATGCATTTCGTGTATGCTAAAACGTGGGTAACCCGCATAGATTCAGAAATAGACATGACAGAATTTTAGTTTTTAGATGCCAAGCTCCCATTGATCCGTGAATTAGTGTCTCATTTATCAAGGTTTTGACTCGACCCACCAGCCCCCAAACTCACTGCATAGCCATGTATTTAAAAAAAAAAAAAAAAAACTCTGTTCTTATACAAGGGATTTTTGAAATCGAAACTTAGTTACGCCACCGACAGGGTAGAGTTAATTTTCAGGGTGGCAAGTGGGGTTGGCCGGGTTGGAGTTATGATGGTGGTAACTGGGAGATGGTGAGTTGATAAAGAAGAGGAAATGAAGGTGAGATTTATTTATTAGATGACGAGCTTTGGTTAAAAGAGAAAGGTGTTGATGACGCCAATAATGAGCCAATAATGAGGATGAGGTGGGGGGTGAGTGGGTAGGGGCTGAGATGGTGAATGTTTAGGGGTTGGAGTTTAGCGTTGAGGTCTGAGTGGGGGGGGGTGCGGTGCTTGGATGCTTGGATGAATGAGCCGAAAGCCATCATTTTGATTAATCTCTGTATATAGCAGACCCATCAGTCAATCCCAGAGTCACTTAAAGAACCGCTCAAACCAGCAAAGGCATCACCAGCATCCCGGCTGGATGGGACTCGTTAACCTGGGATGGCAAATCATCTAGGAGAGGGCAAACTCTTATCCGGAGATGGAGTCCCTTAGGCGGTAGGACACTGAAACAATTAAAATTCCGACAACTCCTGCGACGTAGACCGCACATGAGCATAGTGAAACACACAAGTCTTGCCGTTGGATCAAATAGGATATATGACGGGAGAGTAAGGCTGGCGAATTAAACAACTAGCCCTTGCTTATACAAAAATTCAGCAATGCTCAACTATTCAAACCGAAAATTGACATGGTCATCTTCGCGTGTGACGGACGAATAATAACGACATGAATCTATTTGTATAGTATATGCGAACTTCTCACTATGATAGTCTAAGTAACAACTCACTTTGACAGCCTAGGTCATAACTCACATTGGCAGCCTAAGTCATAACTCACATGGACAGTCTAAGTCACAACTCACATTGACAGCCTAGGACACAACTCACTTTGACAGCCTAAGTCACAGTTAACTTTGACAGCCTCAGTCACAACTCACTTTGACATCATAGGACACAACTCACTTTAACAACCTAGGTCACAACTCACTTTGACAGCCTAAGTCACAACTCACTTTGACAGACTAAGTCACAACTCACTTTAACAACCTAGGTCACAACTCACTTTGACAACCTAAGTCACAGTTTACTTTGACAGCCTCAGTCACAACTCACTTTGACAGTATCAGTCACAACTCACATTGACAGCCTAAGTCACAACTCACATTGACAGATGAACGGAGAAGAATTGACCAATGAGCGGAAGACCGAAGAGATATTATTTTGTTATAATGATGT